CAAAAAGAAAAAAGCCGGAAGTGGCGCTGTGACTCAAGTGGTAGAGTGCTAGCCTTGAGCTGAAGAGCTGAGGGACAGCGCCCAGGCCCAGAGTTCAGCCCCTACAACCAACAACAACAACAAAAATATCAGGCCCTGCGTTCAAGCCCCAGTACTGGCACAAAAAGAAAGAAAAAAAAAGTTCTCATTTCTTTCTAGCCCTCTGCTTAGTCCTCTGCCACGCATTTGTATTTTGCTTTTATTCTTTTTGGTCCTGAGGTTTGAAATCTGGGCTTGGGTGCTGTCCCTGAGCCCTTCTGGTTTTCTGGTGGTTAATTGGCGATAAGAGTCTCATGGACTTTCCTGCCCAGGCTGGCTTTGAACCATGATCCTCAGATCTTAGCCTCCTGAGTAGCTAGGATGACAGGCGTGAGCCACTGGCGCCCAGCTATATTTTGCTTTTGAAATGGGATCTTGCTAATGTTGCCTGGTTGGCAACTGGTGATCCTCCTGAGTGGCTGGGACTAGAGGCATACACAACCACACCAGAAAATTAGCTCACCTTAATCCATTTTGCACAGTACCCTATTTTTTGTACTTGACCTTGGCACATGTCTCCCCCGTTCTGACACACCACAGGCCTACAGCAGCTGCTTTTGATAGCTGTGCTCTGTTGGTTTGGCCAATATAATAAGCCAACACTTATCATTACCCACTGAATTGCTTGATTGGTCGATCAATGAATCAGTTTGGAAGATGTTTCTTATCACTGTAATGTCCTTTTTTGAAGAGATTGTGCTTCTCTAAGCTGGAGGCAGAAACAGACATTCTCTGCACAGAAGAAACACTGAGTCAAAGGGTGCTGTGGAACACCAGAGCCCAGGATGCTCCTGCCAGTGACCTGTGGGTGCAGCTCTGGGCTGAGGGCACTTCTCAGCCTCCTCCCATACTGGAATGTTTTGACAGAGACCCTGAAGGAGTACCTGAGGGTAGTGATGAACCTCCAGTATGATGAGAAACCACCATATGCCGTACTGAGGAACAATCTCGAAGCCCTGCTGCAGGACCTGCGGGCATCACCCTACGACCCCCTTGACCTCCACATAGTGCCTTAGGTGGAATCCAGGTGGGAATTGTGCATCTTCATCTCTCTGTCCTCTCCCTCACCTTTGCCACCCAGGACTTTAAAGAGGGCTTCCCAGAGGTCAGACCAGCCCCACCCCCACCCCTTACCCCACATGTCCTGGAACAGCTGACCCTGTCACTTATGGCTGTGTCCCTACTCCCTGGTAGCGGCCTGACATTACCAGGGTGTCTCTGAATGAATATGACACTAATACCCATTTTTATTGTTTTCCAGAACTTTCAACTAAAGAGTGAAGTAACATGACTGGAGACCTGCTGTTTGATCAGAGAAGCTTCTAGCAAAATCCCACAAATGTGCATTCCAGGCATTTCTTTAGTCCTGTTTAATACCAGTCCATCTGAGTGACCCTCCTGGTAATGTCAGCCTTCCTCCTGCCTCTCCTGTGGTCTCCGGCAGCCAGGGGCTGTGGGCAGTGAGGACAGCAGCCCCCCAGAGGCCCCATACCTCCCCTTCTCCCCCGTACCACTAGGTTTTAGTAATAAATTGTTTTATTGGAGCTTCCAGAGTCCATGTCTAGAAAAGTTCTTTTTTGGGGGGTAGGGGGGAAGGGGTAAAGTTTAACTGTTTCTTCCATTCATCTATTCCCTCTATTTCCTCAATCTTCCATCCAACCATTCCATCTTTCATTCATAGACTCAAAGATTTGCCCGACACAGTGGTATATTACTATGGTCACAGCTACGTAGCAGGTCGAGGCAGGAGGATCACTTGAGTTGAAGAGTTCCAGGTCAGCCTGAGTAACATGGTGAGACCTTCTTTAAACCCATAAGCTGGATGCTGGTAGCTCACACTTGTCATCCTAGCTACTCAGAAGCTGAGATCTAAGGATCTCAGTTGGAAGCCAGCCCAGGCAGAAAGTCTGTGAGACACTCATCTCCAGTTAAACACAAAAAAAGTCAGAAGTAGAGCTGTGGATCAAGTGGTAGAGCAACCTTGAGCAAAAGGAGCATAGGGAAGAGGCTGGGAAGGTGGCTCAGCCATAGAGTGTTTGCCTTGCATGCATAAGGCCCTGGGTTTGATTCCTCAGCACCATATAAGCAAAAAAAGCCAGAAGTGGTGCTGTGGCTCCAGTGGTAGAGCGCCAGTCTTGAGCTGAAGTCTTGAGGGACAGCACCCAGACCCAGAGTTCAGGCCCCATGACCAGCAAAAAAAAGAAGCAGCAGCACAGGAAGCCAGGTGCTGGTGGCTCATCCCTGTAATCCTAGCTACTCAGGAGGCTGAGATCTGAGGATCGCAGTTCAAAGGCAGCCCCGGCAGGAAAGCCTGTGAGACTCTTATCTCCAATAAACCACTAGAAAGCCGGAAGTGGTGCTGTGGCTCAAGCAGTAGAGCACTTGCCTTGAGCTGAAGAGCTGAGGGACAGCGCCCAGGCCCAGAGTTCAAGCCCCACAACCGACCAAAAAAAAAAAAGCATAGAGATAACACTCAGGCCTTAAGTTCAAGCCCTAGCACTAGTAAGAAAAAAAGAAAGCCAAAGGGCCTGAGAGCCAGGCTTGAGCTGTGAGTCTCTGCTTAAATAGGTGTAAGGCCCTGAGTTCAAACACTTAACACCAAAATAAACAAAAATTACAATGATGTTGTTTTTTTTTCTCAGTGCCCTCCTTATCAGAAATGGTTGCTGGGGAGATGGAAGATGCCGCTGAAGGTCCAGTTGCTGCTCAGGCCTTGCGTGGCAAACGCCTGGCCTAAAATGAAGGTGGTGTCTGATTTTTCACCAATTGATATGCCCCGGGGAAACAGGACTGATGAAGCTGGGTAAAGCCACAGAAACCGGCACTATGTGTGGGCCCAGGTACAACTGAAGAAATTCTAGAAGTGAATCTGCTAAAAGACAAAATGACACCAGGCTCTGGTGGCTCACACCTGTAATCCAAGCTACTCAGGAGGCTGAGATCTGAGGGTCAAGATTTGAAGCCAGCCCAGGCAGGAAAGGCTAGAGACTTTTTTTTTTTTTGCTCTGTCGTAGGGCTTGAACTGGGAGCCTGATTCCTCAAAGTTAGCACTCTACCACTTTGAGCCACAGCACCACTTCTGGTTTTCTGGTGGTTCATTGGAGATAAGGGTCTCACAGGACTTTCTTGCCTGGGCTAGCTCTGAACTATGATCCTCAAATCTCAGCCTCCTGAGTAGCTAAGATTATAGGCATCAGCCACCAATGTCCAGCCCGTAAGACTCGTCTCCAATTAACCCCCCAGAAAACCATAAGTGTCTCAAAGTTGTAGAGCACTAGCCTTGAGTAGAAAAAAGCTCAAGGATAGAGTCCAGGCTTTGAGTTCAAGCCCCACAACTGACCCCCTCCCCCCCCAAAAAAATGAGGGCTGGGAATGTGGCTCAATGGTAGAGTGCTTGCTTAGCATGCATGAAGCCCTGGGTTCGATTCCTCAGTACCACATACAATAAAAGCCAGATGTGGCGCTGTGGCTCAAGTGGTAGAGTGCTAGCCTTGAGCCAAAGAAGTTCAGGGACAGAGTCCAGGTCCTAAGTTCAAGCCCCAGGACTGGCACAAAAAAGAAAGACCAAGAAACTAGAATTTTAAGAGAGATAAGCAATTTACATGCTTAGATGTTTAATTTTGAGGACCAAAGGATTGTTTGGGGGTGTGTAGCGGGATCCAGGGCCCCCCAGCCATCAACACCAAAGATGTGCAAGAGTCTGTCCTCGGAGAGACTCAGGCTGTGGTGCAGGCACAGCCCTGCAGGGCCCACAATAGTCACCTCCTTTAGGGTCTCAAAGCCTGCCAGATTAACAGATGGGTCCCTGGTGTCAGGTGCGCAAGGGGAGGCTGCTGATGGTGATCGGAGGTCCCCTGCCCATCACCTGGGTGCCTCGCATGGTATGTGCTTCACTTGCGGATCTTTTTTTTTTGTCGGTCATGGGGCCTGAACTCTGGGCATGGGCGCTGTCCCTCAGCTCTTCAGCTCAAGGCAAGCACTCTACCACTTGAGACACAGCACCACTTCTGGGTTTTTCTGTTTATGTGGTGCTGAGGAATCAAACCCAGGGCCTCATGCATGCAAGGCAAGCACTCTACCATTGAGCCACCTTCCCAGCCCCTCACTTGTGGATCTTGATCTCTGCATACTCCGTGGTGGTGGAGTCACTGGAGTCCCAAGCCTCTGCAGGCCTCAGCCTAGAGAAGCTGAGGGAGGCGTAATGGATGTCTAGCTCTTCCTCCTCCTTGGTGGGCCTGGCCACAGCAGGTGGTGGGAAGGCTAGCCTGGATTCCTTCATGTGACTCTAGATGGGGGCAGGGAGGGGGGAAGGGAGAAAAGGATCAAATGTGGTAATGGGGACTGGGGAAAGAGACAGAAGAATCCAGGAAATTCGTTTTTCATCTGATATTTCCCCAACATTAGCTAGGCATCATTCATTCATGCACTCATTTATTCATTCCAAACCTAGCTGAGATTCAGTGCCTGCCTCCTGATAATTGACTAGGTTTCATAAAATCTTTTCCCAGGAGCCACTGGGAAGAACCCAGCTGGGGAGATGGGGGCTTAGTCACTACCCCGGCCCACACTTCTGATCAGGGGGTCAGAGCAAGACTCAATTCCTGGTCATTCTGACCTCCGAGGACCACTGCCCTGTGGAACAGCTTTGGCTGGCACCCTGTATCACAGAGGAGGGACAAGAGGAAGGAACAAGGGTTAAGGTTCAGAGAGAAATAAGGAGGCAGCAGTGGGAGGGGCCCTGCCTGGGCAGCCTGGACAGGAAGTCAGGCCAGGAGAGGCTCCCAGCCACTGGGCTGGGGACTGAGTCCATGGATGGCGACCAGTAGCAAAAGACTAACTGGGAGCCGGGCACGGGTATCCATGCCTGTAATCCTAGCCACCAAGGAGACTCAGATTTGAGGATCAAGGTTTGAAGCTAGCCCAAACAAATCTGATTCTCTTTTTATGTGCTACTGAGGAATCGAACCCAGAGCTTCACAAGTGCTAGGCAAGCACTCTACCACTCAGCCACATTCCCATCCCATGAGAGATTCTCTTACTTCCAATTAACCCAGCAAAAAGCCCAAAGGGGAGGTGTGGCTCCAGTGGTAGAGCACCAGTCTTGAGCAAAAAAAGCTAAGAGACAAGTTGAGTTCAAGTCCCAGGCCAGCATGCACGCACACATGCACACATACATGGGCGTGGGCATGTGTGCGTGCACACACACACACACACAGAGCCTATTTGGTCTAGGCCATAGACCATCATCAGAAGTATGGTGCTGGGTATCCTGGGAGATGATCAGGCAGTCCAGATGGACACAAGCTGCTCCTCACCTTCCAGGTGGTTCTTGGGGTGGAGCAGGCAACTGTCACAGTAGCGGGTGGGCTGGCAGCTTCCGTCCTACGGGTCTTCATCCTGAAGAGGAAGGGCCAGGCCCTTTCATTCCCCCTTGGGCTCAGGGCCTGGGGTGGGACCACAGGACCTCTGCTTGCAGGACACTAGTAGCACAGCCAGATGACCTCTGGGTGACCCCTAGGGACCCTTTTCCCAGGAGCTGGAGCTGGGGTGGGCACAGGCCTGGGCTTGCCCTCGCTCTGGCCTGGGCCCAATGCTCAAAGCTAGGCTCTGGCCAGAGCTGCCAGCGGAGTTGGGTGGAATTGTATGCTCCCCCCACTCGCTGTACCCCCTAAGATCCCTCACCGACAGAAGACGAGGGTGGCACAGAGGAACAGCATGGCAGCCCCGCCAGCTCCACACACAGTCCCCAGGGTGAACATCCTGGTCACAGTTGCCTTCCCTACAGAGCAGCAGGGTTGAGGGTGACACCTCTTTCCCCCTCCCAAACCCCAGAACCTTTACTGTCCACACACCTCTGCCTCCCATTCTTCCTCCCTGAGCCTGCCACAGGCCAGGCATTCTGGTGACCAGGGACTCTGCCTGCCTGTTCTGGCCACTAGCCCTAGCCTGTGTCCCCCAAAACTCCCCATAATCCTAAACCCTGCTCCCAGGTTCCCTGACCTGGGGCAGCAAGACAGGGGTGATCTGGGCCCTATGCACATTCCGGGCCTGCAGCTGAGCCTGAGTTGGAGCTGAGTCCCACCCCTACCCCAGGGCCTCAGCAGCACCCCCCCGCCCCCCCATTCCGCCTGGCTGAACTGGAGGTAATGGTGACTGGGGTGTTGTCACTGGCCCTCAGTTCCCCCAGGAGCAGGAGGGGCCCAGCAGTTGTGGGGGGCTGTGGGAGGCCCAGGGTCAGCAGATGTCCCCTGTCTCCCCCCCCCCAGGCCTCAGTGTCCCCTCCTCACAGTGCACAGAGAGGCTCAGGGAGATGTTCAGGGCACCCAGTGGGTTCTGCGCCCGGCAGGTGAATTCTCCTTCATGTTCTGCCTCGACCATGGGCAGCTCCAGCACCCCAGGCTCCGCGGGCCAGGGGGGGCTCAGCGTCTGGGAACCCTGGGCCCAGCTCAGCATGGCCGGCGGGTGACTGTGGGTGACACAGACCAGGCGCAGGCTTTGTCCCTGCAGGACATGGAGGGACGAGCCGTTCCTGCGGATTTCCAGCTCTAGGGGA